TTTACTTATTTCATAAAATAGTATTTTCATAGAGTGTGTTGTCTGCACGACAAATTTATAATAAATTCTACTCATTTGTTCATTAACTTCGCTCTTATATATATATATATATATATATATATATATATATATATATATATATTATAATTCACTAAGTTATTCAGTACCAATTAAAATTGTTTTGCTTATTTCATAAAATAGTATTTTCATAGAGTGTGTTGTCTGCACGGCAAATTTATAATAAATTCTACTCATTTGTCCATTAACTTCGCTCTTATATATATATATATATTTGCCTGCAATCAACCTCTTCCACACCGCAGACATCTTCGATAACCTTAGGCAACAGAATCAAGGTAAGCACAATCAAATTATTATTGGTGAAGGTACTCTTTAATTTTTGCTGAATTATCATAAATGTTAGACTTCCTAAATTCAATTGTTCAGTTGGTGATGGTTTCCAATCGTTTAGTAATTTTCAACTCAATCCTAGCAAATATCCAGTTCAATTCATCCTTCCCTTGGTAATTAGAGGCATAGCCCAATCCCGAGTAAAGTGCGCAAGCATTGACTCAAAACAGGGCAAAGTTATAGTATATTACGGCTCGGTAAAGGCACCAGTCTAAGCCTCCATTCTGGTTCGGACGTAACATTGCAATGATCGCCATGAATATTGCTATTCCAATAAGCAGCACTAGGTCCATATCCGTTTTCTAAAATATAAATAAACCTTCACAGTTTTGTACAGCCCGATACTTACACATATCCTATACAGTATGCATATGACATAAAAAGGCTTATATCATTTACAAGCATTTAACAAAAGTTAGTGACCATTAATGGTAAATTATTAGGAGTGATTTACAAATATGATTCACGCCTCATAATTATTCTACATAAAGCACCACGTGACAAATGGAACTTACATTTTTTAAATATAAATTATCTACACGCTCTTTTTAACTGCTTAATACTACAGTAACTTTTTTTCCTTGTTTATCAGTAGGCGTTGGTATAATCGGTATCCGGTGATCGATAAAATGTATAACAGGCGCAAAACAGTGATAACGACTATGAATATTGC